AAAAGTGCTGTGGATTTCCAGTTTGTGAGCACATTTGGGCTGAATCTTTCACACGTCACAAATTGCAGATGGGAAGCAGTGATCTCGAACAGCCGATCACCTCAGCGTGACCATCTGACACCTTCCATTTAGGAAAATAATACTTTCTATCTTAGCATACTCTCTCCTCTGCAGCCAGGCAGAGGAAATATGCCTGGAAGAGTTTCAACCTCAAACTTTCCCTTCGCTTGGACCCATTCAGCATTGTTTCTTTAGATAGATTGTTTTAGATTAGCTTTCTTTTTGTGTTAACAATGTATGTTTGCAGCGAGATCATGAATCTGCTGAAGGTTTTTTTGTGCATTAAGAGAGCATTTTTTAAGTCATGCCTTGATGTGCTGTTATGATTTTTTATATTTTAGTCCCCCCCCACACACACACCTCAACTACAGTAGTAGTGCAACCCAAAGGTCACTTTTTCAATTCTCAAAAAGCAAAAAAGCATAATGTAAATGCAAAGAATGCAAATGAAAAAATGTTTTTGTTTGTTTTATGTGCACAATATTAATGCGTCATGACTGGGATTGCACTCGCAACCTTCAATTTTAGCATCATTAATGTAACATCATTGTTTCTAGAAGCTTATTTCCATTGATTATAGACAACATTGACGTATGCGGTACTGTATATGCATATAGGATTACAGTATTGAACAAAATGTACAATTAAAGAATTGTCTCTTTCACTTCATGAGTTATAATTGTATTAAATTGACCAGATCCCACAATAAATTGAATTATAATTTGAATTGGAATAACAGGATGAGGAATTAAATAGAAATGTGTTATCTATCTATCTATCTGTCTGTCTGTCTGTCTGTCTGTCTATCCGTCCGTCCGTCTATCTGTCTGTCCGTCTGTCTATCTAACCATCCATCCATCCATCCATCTGTCTGCCTGTCTGTCTGTCTGTCTGTCTATCCATCCATCCGTCTATCTATCCATCCATCAGTCTGTTCATCTATCTGTCCGTCTGTCAATCCATCCATCCGTCTGTCTGTCTATCTATCTATCTATCTATCTATCTATCTATCTATCTATCTATCTATCTATCTATCTATCCATCCATCCATCTGTCTATCTATCTGTCTGTCTGTCTATCTATCCATCAGTCTGTCCATCTATCTGTCTGTCTGTCTGTCAATCCATCCATCCATCCATCCATCCATCCATCCGTCTGTCTGTCTGTCTGTCTATCTATCCATCCATCCATCCATCTGTCTATCTATCTATCTATCTGTCTGTCTGTCTCCATCCATCCATCCATCCATCCATCTATCTATCTGTCTGTCTGTCTGTCTATCTATCTGTCTGTCAAAGTCTTTCTCAATATAATTTTGAAGAAAAAAAATATCATTTGCTTTGCTCATTTGCCAGTCATTTGCTTTTAAGGTTAAACCCCAATATATATATATGACTGGCAAGCAAATGACTGAAACAAATGACTGGCAAGTATTTCAATAGTCTCTATAGTCAGATTTTTGTATCTATATCTTGATTGAACATTTTTGAACATAACACATACAGTACACACACCGTCATCCTGAGTGTGACATAAAATCCAGTTCCACTGACGTCTGGCCTGCGGTCCACTCATGGGTGCAGTGTCTGTAATTTGAGCGATAAATAGGAGTTGGTTTAACAGTTATGGCGAGAGTTGTAAATCTGGTCTGCGTATCGTGGTCTCGGAGGGTTTAATTAGTCCACAGATTCCACTTCTAACGTGACGAGGCTCGCTCAACACCCCTCCGTAACGTGGCACAGGCGAAGTGCCCCTCCGTCTAAAGTCCACCGGCCCCCAGAGCCTTGTAGCAGTACAGAGCTTAAAGATTCAAACACGGCCATCTCAGCCTGTATAACAAGTCAACAGAGAATTAGCTGATGTCATATCAATTGAGCCGCTTGGTCTCTTCAAGTCGCGAGCACAGACTCTTCACCGAGGAGGAGTGAGGAAAACTGTCATTGTAATCCCAGGTACTTCAAATAATCCTGTACTAAAATGGTGGAAACCAAAGGGCAGATCTACGTTCAAGCTGTCACTTAACGTTTGTTGTAAATTTTCACTTCATAAACCTTAATTACTTCCCTACTTTCTACCAAACGCTCTTCCAGTATGAGATTGATTGTTTGAGTGCTACAATATAATCTTCAGCCATGAACCACAACCTGTACGTAACTTAACCTGTACCACTTGTGATACCCCAAAGTTGTGTTATTTTTTATCTATTTGAAGAAATCAGACTTATGAGTATATCAATAGCTTAACCAAGGAGCGATTTACACGACACCATTTTTTCAACTTAAAAACTTTTTATGTGTTTTGGCCATTCATTTAGGCTACACGACAATTGCATTTCAGGGACTCGAAAACACAAACTTTTAAAAACATGTTTCAAAGTGCTCGTTTTTGAGAACGATATCATCATCGTCTCTGTTTAAACTATTAAATTAAGTTTGATTCACATTTATTTGTATAGTGCTTTTCATAATACATATTGTTTCAAAGCAGCTTTACAGAAATAGTCTTGTAAAATGATTACAGCATATATTACAATAACCTACGTGTTCAGTCAAAGTGACATTGCCATCTACTGGCCGGGAAGCATAACAGCGCTTTTATGTTTTCGCGGATCTGTGTGAGAGGGGATCGTTTTGACAACGTTGTCGTCTGTACGTGAAAAAAAACTTGTGTACAAAACGTACCCTAACACTGTATCACTGCAAATGCACATAAAACTTGATTGATGCACTCTATATAAAGTTTTTAGCAATTTTTAAGCAATCTTAGATGAATACCTGCTTAAGGATCCAATAGTGGCACAAATCTCTCAGTAAGCCACCAGATCACATCTACCTGAGATTTATCTATGTTAAACAGTTAACAATCAGACGATAATGAATTTGTTCGTTTTTTTTAAACGTTGATGTTGTGAACAGTTATTTTAATTAATTCTTTCACTTTAAGTAGTGTAAGGAGAGAGTGATCAGAGAAGGCATGAGGACAGCAGTCATTAGGAGCACATGAAGTGCTATATCAAGCCATTTATAGTGTTGAAAAAAAAGAAACAAAAGTTTAATTCTTCACTTGATCCATATGCTTTATCTCAAACCTTTTCTTTTAATGGCTTTGTAAGCTTGATGCTGTTTTCCAGATGGCAATGTACCATTATAAATCTGTCTTGCATGTCAAGCAACTATGCTATAATATGAAGATTTAGAAGCGTTAATCTTACCTGCTAACAAACAGTACATATGTTTGACTAATTGGGCATATAGAGTACATTGCAATTCTGCATGACTTGATATATGTTCTGTATTTTATGAACATATTCCTTTATCTCATTTTATATTCTGAAATGGACTTAAGTCTAATCGAGCATCAAGGCTAGCATCAGTGTTTCTGATCTTTAGTTGTACCAATACATAAAAAGGCAAAGATTTGGGATATATCTGTTTAGGAATATTATAGTTTGTTTTCCAGGATATTTAACGAATGAATGCTGCAATAGCTATGTAACAATTGTCAAGTATTTATCACTTTTTTATTTCCAATGTTTGAACAGTTTGTAACGAAATTAAAAAAACAAGACCTTCCCTGATTTCCTATGAAAGCCTTGGCTTTAGACTGATATTTACGTGAAGAACTCGGGTCGGTTTTGCCGGGAAAATCAGAAGAATGTGACGTTTACGCGCGCTCGCGAGAGCGTTTCTTCCGTTCTACATTAAATTTTATACAATGTTCAGCAGCAGGATAATGCTTTAGAGTTATTATGAACTGTAATGTCCATGCGTCCTACAAGCAAATGGATTAATTCAAACTACAGTCTAGTCTCAGATGTAGCCTACCTCATCTCTTGATGATGCCGGTGAATTGCTGGACTGGTGTATTCACATCAAATGCTTTTGCTTTGCTTTTAACTGCTGTTTTCTCGCGGCTGTCATTTTTGTTGTAGGTTATGTTTATTTTGTTACTGAGGAAAGCATGCAGCACATATTTGCATAATAATAATCTAAAGATCAGCGTGGACGGCGCCAGGGTGAGAGTGTTAGCAAACGTTGTGCACATGTGCACGAGCACGAGCAATAAGTTGCTGGCTGCAGTTCACTTAACGGCCAATGGTGTCGCTAATAACAAGGGTTTCTGAATTACACATATTATAGCCATTTTAAAGCTGTAATATTTTTAGGCATATGGCCAGAATGCCAGTAAACTAACAATATGTAGACATTATTCCTTTTCTTTTTCAGAACAACGCAATACATGATTTTTCTTATTCTGTTCACAACAGATACCACAAGCTGTCACATGATGACAATTGAGCTATATATAAAAAAGTGAAGGGAGTTTTTATATTATTCTTTTAACTAAGATTTCCTCAGCACTGAAAGACACAGTGTGTGAGGAGAATCAAAGAACGCATGAGGACGTATGAGTAATGCATCAGCAGTAAAACTTTCATTAGGAGCACAGGAAGTGCTATAGTCATGATGCCGAAACAACAGCAAAAAAATATGGAAACAAAAAAGTTTAATCCTTCACTTGATCCATATGCTTTATCTCAAACCTTTTCTTTTAATGGCTTTGTAAGCTTGATGCTGTTTTCCAGATGGCTATGTACCATTATAAATCCGTCTTGCATGTCAAGCAACTATATTATTTCATAATATGAAGATTTAGTTACCTGCTATCTGCTTTTTCTGCAGACTGTTTCAGTAGCTACGAACACGATTGCCTGTCGTTTGACCAAGACACTTGGATGAGTATGAAACGACGGTGCCTTTAACCTGGAAAAAACTCTATTCAAAGGTTCAAATTGTAGATGCATTGTAATGCACAGTGAGTATATCAATATCCCCCCCCAATACCTAACTTAAAGATGATTAGTTTCTTATGAATATGAATTTATTTGAAGGTTTTCCCCTTCCAGACTTGTCAAATAAATGTTTAAAACAATGAAGAACTAAAGAGCTATACGAATTTATTTGGCTCATTACACTATATGTATATATATATTTACCAGCATTACATTGATTTGCATTCCATGTCATGTCCATGATGCTCACTCAAGACCACAAGACAAGTTTGCCCAAAGTCCCTTGTTCGTTCTTTTGAAGGACTAAGCAAAAGGAGAAAAAGATGGGGTTATTTTGGCGATGGAGATTAAGGCAGAGGGGGGCTTTTTGTCATTTGTGCGAGACAAGCCATTCATCCATCCCCCGTTCAGAGCCCAAAAAAAAGGCTGGTCCCAGAAATTAGCAGTTTCAGCTCAGCAGCAGAGGCGTCGGGCTGTGAAGGAACAGAGAAATTGACTAATTAGCAATGCGCACTAAAACTTGACGGTTCTCTCCATAACGCAGAGAGAAAGAGAGGAAAGACTCGCCTTTTCTCCTCTCCTCTTTTTCCATAGATGTTTGAAATCGCAGTCATTTACGCTCGACAGTTTTTACAATAGCCTTGAGCCATAATTTTGCGAGTCTCTCCAGCATCCATACCCCTGCGCGGTCTCTCTCCACCGGCCATGCGCGTCCGTTTCTCTCCCCGACCGTGGATTTCCTATTACTCTCGTTACGACTCACTGAGCCCCAGGCCCAAGGATAATGATGTGTTGTTTCTTGGTAGCATAATTTGTCACACGTATATTTCTTCTTCTTCTTCTTCTCTTGCAGAAAGCACACAGCTCCTCTCACACTCACACACACTTCTTCTTCTTCTTGTTAATTCAGAGGAAACATAAATGATCAATGAGCTTGAATGAGCGGGGGATCAATGGTTAGGATTCTGATCCATCGATTATAGACTTTTCCAACAGGACTGAACAAAGAAAGTGCACAGAAGGAGCCACAGCTTTACTTTTCTTTAAGTCAGGTAAGTTTTTGGATACCTACTACTACTAGCATTCAGCACGGGTGCGCACCGTGCGTACATTTTCCATGGGCTGAAAGTTGCCGTTTCTTCTGGTGTTCCGTCTCAGATTGGGTGATAAATACCGCGTGTGTTCGTGTTGTTGAACGGAGCGATCGCATTGTGTTGTTGCCGACCAAAGCGATGCGCAACCGCACATCTATGGTGGTGATGCTGATGTTGCGGGAGACAAACTAATTGCTTTTGTATCGCATATCGGGGGGAATGCGTGCATGCATTTATGTCCTGTAAGGGGGTGTGTTTGCGTGGCCGGATAACAGATAGCGGGCAGTTTTGGACGCTATACATCGTGGGCTTTGCTTTTCAACAACCCAGCGTATAGTTTGTTTCAACGCGTGCTCACGAACGCATGCATGAGACATATAGATGGGTATGCAACTATTCGTGTGCTTTTTAATGCATGTGCTTGTGTGTTGCATGCATGAATGAGATACACTTTCAGAATAAAATCGTCTCTGATGCAGTGTAGTGCACCAATGGCATTGTTTACTCGCAGGAGGTGTGCGCAGCCCCGAAGTCATGTCCCGATCGGGTGACCGAACCTCCACGTTTGACCCGACTCACAGCGACACTCTGCTGCACGGTCTCAACCTGCTGTGGAGGAAGCAGCTCTTCTGCGATGTGACTCTCACGGCTCAGGGACAGCAGTTCCACTGCCACAAAGCCGTGCTGGCGTCCTGCTCGCAGTACTTCAGGTCCCTGTTCTCCACGCACATGCTGAGCAGAGAGGACGGGCTGGCGGCGAAGGACCAAGGCAGCAGCGGCACCCCGTCCTCCTCCCCCGACGACAAGCTCCTGCCCAGCCCGCGCTCCGGCATCAACAACCTGGTGCTCCAGGGCTGCTCCTCCATCGGTCTGCGGCTGGTGCTGGAGTACCTCTACACGGCCAACGTCACCCTCTCCCTGGACACGGTGGAGGAGGTGCTCTCCGTCAGCAAGATCCTCAACATCCCCCAGATCACCAAACTCAGCGTGCAGTTCCTCAACGACCAGATCTCCGTGCAAAACTACAAGCAGATCTGCAAGATCGCGGCTCTGCACGGGCTGGACGAGACCAAGAAGCTCGCCAACAAGTACCTGGTGGAGGACGTGCTTCTCTTGAACTTTGAGGAGATGTGCGCCATGCTGGACGCCCTGCCTCCGCCCGTGGAGTCGGAGCTGGCGCTCTTTCAGATGTCCGTGCTGTGGTTGGAGCACGACAGGGAGACCAGGATGCAGTACGCTCCCGACCTGATGAAGCGCCTGCGCTTCGCCCTCATCCCGGCCCCGGAGCTGGTGGAGAGGGTGCAGTCGGTGGACTTTATGAGGAACGACCAGGTGTGCCAGAAACTGCTCATGGATGCCATGAACTACCACCTGATGCCCTTCAGACAGCACTGCAGACAGACCACAGCCAGCAGGTAGGCTCTTCATCGTGCTTTTTTTGTGTAGAGACTAGTGTTTTTATTTAAAAATACACTAATAAAATGTACATTATTTCTGTCATAAAGTTTGTCAGAAATGTAGAGTACACAGTGTGCACGTGATCATGCCCTGATACTATTGGAACAGGCTTGTGTGACAGGTGTCTGTAAACAGATCCATCTTTTCTTTAGCAAAGGTCTCGCACATTCTTACAGTACGTAACTTGGGAATTGAATTAGATTAGAGTTGCAATCTTTTGTCGGAATATCTGATTTGTTTATCTTATCTGTGAGATCCTCATTCTTTTCCTCATGGTGCTGTTTCAGGGTTGATTAATTTCGGCACTGTTGCAAGCTTGCATACTGCAGACATTATTGCAGTCTGCAGATGGGATAATTAGCAGGAATAGGTGACCGTGGAATAAACGGGAATCCGTTGTTGGAGAATATGAGAGAGTGAGATTCTCATTTTAAATGTCTCTTTTTCAACTTTGGAATCAGGAATTAAGACGTTATGAAAGTCAAAGAGGCCTGATATGTATATAAATATGGATTTGCTGACATAATTAGATAAATTGTTTGATTGTTATTATTTGGCCGTCACTCATCTCTTCATTGTGTATCAGCTCTCCTCACCTGTGTTAATATCAATTGCTGAGCATCATCCATGAACTTGAATGAGATGAAATCAGTGAATGACTCTATTGAAGCATCCTGATGATGAAGTGTTGAAGACTAGAGTTGTCCATTTACATCCCAGCTGACAGGGATTGTAAATATTGAACACAAGCACTTATTCAATCTAAGAGGCGAACTGCAAGGTCTCTAAACTGATAATAATAACGTACAGCCAAATTTTTTAGTATTGATTCGACATTAGTTGATTTGTTTAATTAAATTACTGATCGACTGAATGGATGGATGGATGCATATTTAGGATCTAAACAAGAAGAAGTGATTTGGATATGTCGATGACAGACAGTAGTCACATGGCCAATTGGGACTTTGGCCAATGGGATAAGAGCATCAAGATGAGCATAGTTGTCAATATTCCAGTTATAACCGTTTTTGGGGCTAATAGGGATAGCATTTAAAACAAATAACTATACATAAACATATGCACCTGTGAAAATGTGACCGAATGCAATGTTGCATGATTTATTTGTGCTTATGTTCATGATTTTGCAATTTTAAATGAGACTTATAATGAAGAGTTATTAGATTGAGTTTATCACAGATTACAAGCCGTTATGAAGATGCATTATCGCAGTGAGCCTAATTGATTCTACAACTTAAAATGAACAAATCTGTTTTCTTTTTTTCCGTTCATTTGACGGTGGTGATAGTCATTCAGCTTTCATGTTTTCAGCTTGTCTTGCTGTGTTTGTACACGCTTCTACCTTGCTGTGGCATCTCTTTCAATATGTGATTGCTCTGCACTAATAACAGCTAATGAATCGGTTTCCCCGTCCCTCTGTAACACAGGATTCGCTCAAACAAACGGATGCTCCTGTTGGTTGGGGGCCTGCCTCCGGGCCCAGACCGCCTCCCTAGTAATCTGGTTCAGTACTACGACGACGAAAAGAAGACATGGAAGATCCTTACAAGTGAGTGCATGCTCTTGTCTTGCTAGCATAGATCTTTTCTCTTCCACAGGAAGAACCCTGCCTGCGTTGGGTTGTGCTTCATCGCAGAGCAGAATAGAGCGAGAGCTTCCTGAGATGCAGGAGGTAATGATGTATCACTATCACTTTTAATGTAACTTTTTAATCAGAGCATGACTGCCTTCACACCATTGTGGAGCTGGAACGCCTGGATTCACTTGTGTGTGTTTTTTCTGTCTTTTGCATAAGCGCGCCGGCAAGATTAATTTTAATCTAATGATCTCGGGAAGATTCATCATCAGAAGATGACATGTATTCTTATTGAACTGCTTTATTAGGGCAAACGTTCTCGTAAGTGCATTTGTCTTCGCGAGCAGCAGGGAAGAAACAGGAGCGTACCGCCAGTAGTTTGTTGTGTGTTTTGGCATGACGAATTAGAACCGGAATTCTTAGGATTTAAATGACAACAGCAGAGATCAAATGACTATTGACATCATAATCATGAAAAATGATGTTATAATAGAGTCTTGTCTCATTTAAGTCTCAACTTTGTCTCAGATGTTTCTACTAATACCAGAGAAAGACACAAAATAGGCAGTGGTCAACGTAGTAGAGCGGTGTAAGTAAACCGTGGCATAGCTCAGATAATTTAGTTTTAGAAGAATGTTGCACATGATCACGAGTCTAAGGCTACTAGTCCTTGGTTTTTTGCCCGATTGGAACCAAACCAGTGCAGAAATGTTCTCTGGAGTCTAAAGATCAATAATTATCAAAAAAAAGTGGAAATTTTGATTTCCGGTCGCTAGGGGGCGCAAAATAATTTATTTAATTTTACTAAAATGGCTATAACTCCAGAAGTAATTGAGATATCTTCACCAAACTTGGTGGTTGACATGTAGTATGTAAACGTCACAGTTACGTCACGGCGCTAGCTGGAGGCAAAACAAAGTGTAAACTGGAGGCGGCCAATACAAAACAGCACAGATTTGGCTACATAATAAGGAGCTTAAATATTTGTTACTATTATTACATGTCATCTTGTTGTGTTGTTTGGTGCAAGAATTGATGAAAAATGAATATGCTGTGTCTGGAACTTTTATTTCTAGAAAATATTTACATCATTAAAATTGCACTGTAATGTCACTCTCTACATTGTCGTGGTCTTGGCGCTGGCTCGACAGAACTGCGGATCGTACACACAAGTCTTGTACAGGACCATATAGGCATCTAAAGATTTATATGCCCTCAGTTTCTATTTACGATCGGTTTCTCTATGAGGTAGGTGTAGAAGTCAGGCCACTTAACTGAGGTAACGTACATTAATCCTGTCAGATCATCCATGCATTGAGTGAGCGTG